CCACACCCTGGAGAGGCTGTGGGCTGTCAGCAGGACATCGCGAGAGCCGGCTCGTTGCCAGCATGTCGTACAGCCCAACCCTCCTTCCCCAAAGGGTGTGTATTCCCTCCCCCCACCCCACCCCCAAAAAGTACACACGGCCCCTCTTGCCGCTGCCCGTACTCCCCCACCTCCTCCCCCGTGTACTCCACTCCTAACCCTTTCCCCCCGCTCTCCCGCTTCCCCCCCCCCCACACACACCCGACCTCACCTTATCCGCCACGTACTGCCCCAGCACGCAGTCCCCCGGCCCCACGGGTGCCACACACCGCAACACCTTGACCTTCTCATCGCGGATGTCGTCGGGGTGCAGGGACACGGGAGCCTCCATCGTCAGCAGGGCGAGAACCTGGGGGGTCAGGCGTGTGTGTATGTGTATGTGTGTGTGTGGGGGGGGGGGAGACGAACCACGCGCGAGTTAAGCTGATGCCAAGAAAAGACGGATGCGCCAGAATCTGTGTGTGTGTGGGAGAGGGAGTTCCGGCTAAGCACGGAATCGGGAATATAATCTGCTGCCGTTAACAGCAACTACCACAACCACCATCCAGGTTAGCAGGTAATCGCCTTGTGGGGCCAATACCTTCTTCGAATGGGTAGTTAGGTGGTTAAGGTTGGTTAGGTGGTTAGGTGAGATGTACCGATGTGCCATACTACCTGAATGAGGTGGTTTTGGATCACGTCCCGGATTATGCCGTACTGGTCAAAGTAACCTCCGCGGCCTTCCGTACCGAACGGCTCCTGCAGGACGTGGGCCGAAACGGGAGGTGGGGGGCCCGGGGGGGTTTTAGGATGCTGTGGGAGCCCCCGGGGGGGTGTCCTGAAGTGTGCGGGGGGGAAAGACGAACCACACGCGTGTGCGGGGGGGGGGGGACCGGGGAAGACGAACCACGAACGTGTGAAGAAGCTGTTGCCAAGGAAAGTGAGTGCACCAGAAGCAAAACTGACCGATCGGCGTTCTTTGGCGGGGGGGGCCCGGGGGACCCGGGCGGAAGGCGTGTTGCCTCACCCCATCGCGTGCCTCGTACCACCCACCTACACACCCACCAGGCTGTACGTGTGACGGGCACCGCATCCCTGCCCTGCCCTGCCCTCACGCACGCACGCACATACATACACACGTACTAAACACACCGCGCGACCATACGTCCGTTTTTGCGTACCTTGAACGTGATTTGAATATTTGAAATGTAGTGCCGGTTGAAAAAGGCGCCAAAGATGGGGTTAGCGAAGCGGAGCATTAGCAGGTTCTGCGGAAATGGCGACGGCGGGTGATGCATGCCGAGGGTCAAGGGCATTCCAAGGCACACATTCCGCATGCACCCCCCCGGCAGCGGTGTACTCCCAGTTTTACCCTTCCTTCAATGTCCACTCTTGCCGCACATACATATATACATACATGCATACATACATAGGGTTTGGCACTACTGGTAAGGCGCGACCATTGCCCCCGGGAGATCCCGGGATCGATACCCATTAGGGTCAAAAGTCCTTCCGATGGTGGAAGGCATAGCGCCCCTAGTTGATGGACGGTAGTGACCTGGGATAAAGTTAACCTGCGAGCCGACCAGGAATGGAGTTGGGCCGCTGTCGACCCGGCAGATTCCGTTGGATGCTGGTGGTGGGTGCGGAATCTGAGCGATCCACTGAGAAGTTGACTAGGGAGACTGGATGAGGGTGCCCCGAAATACCGGGGAAGGCAGGGTTTCGCAGGGTAGCTGCCACGGGCGAAGATACAGCCCCCTGTTTCACACATCATACATACATACATGCGTGCACACACGTACCTGTACCAGCTCCTTCCCCAGGTAGTGGTCGATGCGGTAGAGCTGCTCCTCGGGCCAGTAGCTGCCAATTTGCTGGGCTAGCAGCTCGCTGCTCTGAAGGTCGTGACCTGAGGGGGGGTTGGGGGTTGGAGCGGTTGGGGGTAAGAAAGGGATACGTACATCCATACAGAGAGACACATACTACCCTGCATACATACAGGCAGACACATACGGTAGAATAGGTATTCAGTCGGACGGCCTCAACCGTGTGTGTGTGTGTGTATGTGTGTGTGTGAAACAAGAATATAAGCGGGGGGAAGGAAAACCATATCGGGTAACACGCGGTACGATGACGCCCCATCAGCGAATGACGTTGCAGTACCAACGGGATCGCTCCTGCAGTAGCAGTAGCAGCAGTAGCTGTACCAATAGCATAGCAGACACAATACCAGCAGTCGCAGTAGCAGCAGCAACACGAGCAGCAATAGCAGCAGCAGCAGCAGCCGAAGCAGTTTCCGAGGATTTCCACGGCCCACATACACATACACATACACAGAAACAAAAACAGAAACAGAAACAGAAACAGAAACAGAAACAAAAACAAAACAACGACTGCCCCGGGGTTTGGGGAAGAGTGGGAGGGGTAGAGGGGTACGGCAATCAAAACCCACCAAAAGGCTTCTCCAACACGAGCCGTACAAAGCTGCCCTCGGCGGCGGGGAACAGGCGCCCGCGACCCGACCCCTCGCCCACGGTGTGACCGAAGCTGCCGCCGCCACCTCCTCTGCCGTACAACGTAGAGCACTGCGTCTTGATGTGCTCACACACCTGCACGTGAGCCGCGTGGAGCTTCCGTGAGCGGGTGGGGGTGGCAAATGGCAGGTGGGCTGGGGGGGGGGGGCTCCGAAACCCTGAGAAGATACACATACACGGACATGCATACAGGCATACATGTCAGTCAGTCAAAACCTACAGATACACACACATACATACAGACATAAAAACACAAACTCCCAACCCCTAGGCCCACCACATATACACCTGCCCCAACCCCCTACCCGCAGACATACGCACACACACACATACACACATACATACATACATACCCACCTGCGGGTAGACGCTGGGAGGTAGGGCCAGGTAAAACAGCCGACCCAGGCGGGGGCCAGACAGAAGGGGACCGCCACCACCACCGCCACCGCCACCTCCGTTGCCGCCACCCAGCGCGCCCCCAGAGGCTGTAGCAACACCCGCAGCAGTCGCTGCTGCCCCCACCCCCAGGCACATGGTCTGCTCCCAGGATTGTAACGCCGAGCCCAGGCGCTCGTACCCTTCCGGCGTGTCGTACTGTTGTACATGGCACGGCATGTTGTGTGTTTGGGTACATGTTTGGAATGGGGGAAGGCCAGGTGTGGTGCGTGAGAGCAAGCGGAGGGAGGGGGTGAGGGAAAGTGCCGTTGTGGTGGTGGCGGTGGTGGTGGTGGTAAGGAAGCGCAGCCGGGCACACCTGATCCTAACCATTATAATCTCTTTCATTTATTATGTAAAATATTATTTATGTATTATAACCATTTCCTTCCTCATGTGGATCGACGCAATGTGAGTTCGATAAATTATGTATATATATCAGCCGAAACAACTTCGTTTCGAACCTTTGCCGCTCCCGAATGCGCCCACCCCCGCCCCTTCCTGGACCTCTCCGTTACTTTGAAGTGAAGAACTTGTTGATGAGTGTGAGTATGAGGACAGAAGTGGGTTGCGACCAAAGTAGGGGGGAAATGGCCGCACTGGAGCGGGAGAACACGGAGGAAGGAGAATAAGCACGAAGGTGGGGGGGCCTCCGGGAGGGCCCTATGATAGGCGTGTCTGTGTGTGTGTATGGAGTGGGGTGGTTTGGGTTGGGGGTTGGGGGTTGAAGGGGGGGAGATAAGGGAAGCACAGCGCGGGAACATCTAAACCTCTAACCCTAACTCACACGCCCGCGCGCCCTTTACAAACAAAACCCACCCACCCTTGTTTTCCATGCCCGAGCGCAACGTACGACATCCCCACTCCCAAAACCCACCTCCCCCGCCATGTACGAGCAGCAGTTCAGGAACTGCTCCACGCACTCGCAATCCCGTTCCAGATGGGCCCTCAGACGTTCTCGAAGCTCCTGAACGGGGGTACGATGTACAATGTACGGACTCGAGAAGGTACGACACGATGTACGAAGTTCGATTACGGGTAGAAAAGGGCCCACGAATATGCCAGTACATGGTATACCCGTCGTCCATGGAGGAAGTAACTATAATTCCATAAACCTCTTACACACGAGGAAGCTGTAGCTGCTTCCACACACACACTCATTCACACCACTCCCTGTCCGCCTCCCCCCTATTCTTCTGCTCCCCCTCCACCCCTTCTGCTTTTTTAGTCCTGGCGGCTTAGGTAGGTAATCTTTCCGACATCTTCTTCACTTCGTCATCCCGAGGTCGCCGCCTTTAAGGACGCCTTTTGGTCAGTTCTACTCCTGGTACACTCCTGCCCTGGCAGCAGCTTCACTCGTGTGTGGTTCGTCTTTCCCCCTCCACCTAACCCACCCTGACACACCTGGCTGCTCATTTTGGATCGAGCGTATCCAACGATTTGAACACGACGAGGGAGGAATCTGAGGCCGTGGGGGGAGGGAGGAGGGGAGGAGGGGAGGGAGGAGGGGAGGAAGGGGGGAAGGGAGGAGGGGAGGAGGGCCCAGAAAGGTTTTGCGAATGAATTGTTTCGGAGTTTATACACTGAATAGATTATTGCCGTATCCGGATGGCTCTCGGGGCAGGAAATGCCGTACAGCTGGCGGCCGCCATCGCCGCCGCCGCCAAGTAGCTGCTGCTAACTGCCCTTACCCTTTTTTGAACAGTTCGTACAATGCGGGGTAGGTCTTCTTTTTGGCAAGATCCCCGGAGGCTCCGAACACCACTATGGACTGCCGGCGAGGGGGTTCCGGCAGCACGGTGTATGGGGAGACGGGGGGGGGAGCATACGTAAGGTGGCTGGGGGAGGGAAAGTGCAGGAAGAGGGGGCGGTGGGGTGATGTGGGATTGTGGAAGGGAGTACGGCATTCGTAACCATGGGGAGAAAATTGGGAGGGTATCGCGAATAAGACATTCAGGGAGGGGAATATCTTGGATCTTGGATCCCGTTTCTCCTGGGACTTCCTGGTGGCTTATTGGTAGCAGGGGCCCTACGCCGAACATGGAGGTGTGTGTGGGGGGGAAATGCATTGGGGGGTGGGGAAAGAGAGACCACGCTGATCCAGACGGCGGGAAGGGCTCATCGTGCCCTGAGGAAGGGGTCAAAGTGCTGCGGGTGCTGCGCTTAATATGACTCAACATATATGCAGAAGTTGCCTTGAGGTGAAAAACGCTGGATGACTAGGTTTCTTGGCTCACCAGTCTCAGCTGCTTTCCTAAATCGTCCACCGCGTCGGCATGCCACTCGTCACGCGCGGAAGAGCACACGCGCTCGAGCACCAATTTTTGAAGAGTCTCCGCCGTACCGTTGTCGCCAGAGACGGAGAGAGCGGCATCCTTGGCTATGGCTTCAAGTTCCTTGCTGGCAAGTCGACTCATCCTGTTATCAAATCGGCAAGAACCGTTTATTACAATTACCTTGCTTTTCGCGACGGAGAGAATCAATATCGGAAAATGTTCTCCATGTATTGTACATGCGGAGAGGCGTCCCAACCGCGATTGTCGGATACCTGCTCACGCTTGCGTCACCGACAGGGACGGTGTCTTGTGCCGACACAGCTTCAACTTTCGAATTCTCTTTTGAAGCACCACAGCCCATGAAAGGCCCTTAGGGCTCTGAAAATGTCGCAAAGACGACTTAATCCTGAAAAACCACACAATGTCGGGACGATATCTGGTTGCAGTGCAATCGCGGAAGAAAATACCTAAGTGAGAAAAAGTTTTGATTCTGTAGTCAATACATGCTGTGGTGGTGATATGTTCGGAAGATGCTCGACTGCCATGCCAAGGGGTTAGCGGTTGGGATTGGTGAAATGGTCATCGAATCTCTCAGCCCCAGGCGCCTCTGTGACCCATCCGTGTGCATAAGCTTGACCCCGCTATTCTACGCTTTCTGTGTCAATGCACTGTCACAAGCGGTGCGCCAGATTGAACCCACCTATCCCAACACGTACGGCACGACGTCCGTAACGGGATGACAACGTTTCTTCTCGGTACGTCAGCAGCTACGCAGGATGACGAGAAAGTTTACACAACTTCACGCTTGCGCGGCTATAATCTAGAAAAACACCTATAACCGTGTACTTAATTATCCTGTGTTTCGCTGCAACTGCACCTGCAGGTTTGGAAACCTGGGCATGATTTGCGTTGCAAGTGTTTCTCGCACCCTGATGCCTTCACGCTAATATAAAATTTCAAATACATCCACAGCTTTGAATAGCTTGTTTCTGGAACCATCATTTAAATGCATAGCCATAACCATCGCTACTATTTGTGGGCATGTATGAGCTAGACAGAAAGCTATCTGTGGCTTATGATTCTGCGTGATCTGCATGCTTCCGATACCGGTATGCAATGATGGGCCCGAGCGCTGGACTGGACTGCGTATCAGTCTGCTGATGGGGCTGTGCGCATCATAAAGGGCTCGCTGGAGCACTTGGGTGCCCGTTAGGGGGCCTGGGCCACGAGGGGACCGCGGTCAAGGATATCTTTTGGAAGCAGGCGTCTGCAGGGCATCGGAACCCTATTAGGGTTACGTATGGAAATATGTATAAATGTCCCCAACAGCAACTTTGCCATCGCCATGGCGAAGGGGTACCTCTCACTAGCTGCGATCGCCGGCAGAGTGCCCCTGGCCTGGGAGTGAAAGTATGGCATATCGTGAATATGGGTGCGCGTCCTTGTGCATGTGTGTACCCTCGGTGGCTGTGAGGCATGTCGCTGCAATATGGCTGCTGGTGGACACTGAAGCTCGCTGAGGGCCTTAGTTTGCTACTGCCTGGTCGCGCTTTTGACTTGGACTTAACACGCACGCGCAGTTCTCAGAGCATGTGCATATTGTGGTACTTCATGTGACATCCGAGGTCGAGGTGGTGCCCAAATAAAATGCAGAAGTAAATGCTATCCCGGGTAGTCAGCAGCTTCTTTGAAGCCGAAAAGGGCTCTCGGCCCCTCGGTGCAGCCTGTCGCCCCGCAGTATCCCGCAGGGGAGGCTGTGCGGCACTGGGCTGCAAGCGGAGGCAGGAACGGCGTCGTGTTTGGACAAGACGCTCACTATTATGGATATAGCTGCGAGGGCCGGGTGCGGCAGCCGTCAGCGTTGGAGTGACTTATGAATCCGGTGTACACACTTGCTGCTAAGGCGCCAATGCAAATACATGGATGGTGCATTGCGTGCCGCCTCGATCTCAACAAGAACGGGTGATGCTATAGTCTCCTGTAGTGCGGGAACCCAGTTCCCCATTGCCAGTCGAGCTGGAGAATAGGACACGTATGAGATGTGCGCGAGACGGCAAGGAGGGAAATGCTGGAGCAGTTGGCATGGATGGGCTGGAGTTGCGGAGTGTGGCGGAGCTGAGCCTGAGCAATTCCAAGGAAGTCCAAGGAAAGAGCGAGGAAACCGCGCGGCCCCCCTTTGGCATAAAAGGGCCATCGGTAACCGACCGGTTAGCTATAACCCAACCGGTCGCTTCGGCAGGGTAACCGTTATATCGGCAATCTTATCCGTCGGTGAAACCCCAGTTACTGGGTCGTTAGCTCGTTATGTCGGTTACCCTACCAGAGGTCGGCAAATCGGTTTCTACGGCTGCGGGAGGGCATAATTTCGGTCAATAAACCTAAAAATTAACCGACAGGGTTCAGGTCCAGCGTGCGGCCCGTAGGGCCGCAATAGAGGCTGCAATAGAGGCTGCAAATTGGTCATTAGGGACCCGCAGCCTTACAGGGCCTTGAGACAAATTTCGGCTGCGGGTACTGTGGTAGGGACCCGCAGGACCCGCCTGATTTGCCGACCTCTGTTACCGACTGGTGACAAGCAAAAGGATAATCCGAATGATCTCCATAAAGGTGCTTGGCGACAAATGCAGAGGAGCAACTGCCTCCCAGCCCTGGTCGCCAGGCAAGCAGCGGCATACATAACAGCCGATTCTATAAAGCCACCCTTTATATTTCGAATTGCTTTTCCAGGATGCACGTTTACGCGCGAACGATGTGAACAAGGTTCATTAGCAGTACTTTCCTTGTACGCCAATTGTACGCCAATTGTACCACAACATTAGATATTTTCAAATATATGGAGCTCCTATGGGCCGAGTCGCGTATGAATGCCTAAGTTAGGGATGCTCGTCATTTTGCGATAGCAGGTAAAGCGTAATGCAGCAGCAGTTCCACAAAACAGCTGCTCGATAAATACCTCGCCTCGACAAACAATGTGTCGACAAGTTGGTTGGCTGCCGAACCACAAGCACGATGATTGCAGTTCCAGGACAGTTGCCCCGCAGCATTGCAAACCATCGCATCGAATTGGACGCACTGCACTTTTCGCAGTCCACGCATCCACCTTTGCTAGACCGCCTTTCACACGCTGTGCTGGGGGAAAATGAAGTTGCTGTTCTGCTGCGCTGTTGTGCACGTCGGGTTTGCCGAGGGAAGCTGTACGGCGAGGCCTTACAAAACAGAAGACACTCGATTAGGGAACTGCGGCACCCCAACTCGATAAGCAGGAATAACACGCGAGAAGATGCGGACATCGGGATATAAGCCCACCTTCCGCACTGCACTGTAGTACATTGTACGGAATGCAGTACATTGTACTTCAAGACCAGCAAAAGGGAGGTTGACAAACGACGACATGACACAGGGTAAAAGGCAAAACACGCCCCAGGCGTCAACACACACGGACACACATATACATACATACATACATACATACATGGGAGATTGAACGTTCGATCAAAGGCATCAATTACTTCGTCGTGGTGAGAAGGTGGTGGTGTTAAGGTTCGGTTGTCAATGTATGTCGTTCGGCAACAGGGACCGGGCAGGCAGTTTTATTTCCCGTTGTGCAGTGACCTCGGATCCCAGCCCAGCTCGCTTTGGGGCTTTCAAACCGTCCCGCTATCCAGCTTGTCAAGGGTTCCATAACCGCAGCGGTTGTGGAACGTCCGGACAAATACATAACATAAAAGGCGAAACCCGCACGAAGGAGGGTCCCAAATACCAATACGCGCACTGCTACGGCATAGCAGTCCAAAGAGTTCGGCTTGTGATGCTAGTGTTTTCTTTATGCGTTTTTACGAGACCTATCTATTTCGGACATAGCGCCCTAGGCTGCAGGCCCTCGGGTCCCCCCAGGGCTCCCCAGGTACGGGCCCCCCTAGGGTACACCTTTGGAGAGTAACACAACTAAAGGTGCAAAACACACACACACACACGCGCAGACACACACACAGACACACATACAGACAATATTCGGGATGCCGGCAGTGACACATAACTCAACGAGGACCTGTCCAATGCCATTATTTGTTTCTCAGCCGTTGGCAGCCAACCGCCAACCGCTCCTTCCGTCAGGTGAAAATCCCTTCAGAAGTCTCCAATGTGAAAATGAGCGTCACCACCACCACCACCACCACCACCAGCTCTCATCACCCTCACGCCAGTACTAGGTACAAGTGCTCCTTGAGGCCACGCACTTACCCCCTCCAGCCCCTTCACCCAACATCGGCTCCAGTCCATTTAGAGGCTGGTGGGATCAGGCATCCTCCAGCTCCGCTACGCCGCCCCAGGGGCGGTCAGGCAAGGCGTCCGTGAAGGAGGCGGGCATTAACGACGATCAAGTCCTTTGCCGCGTAAATGCACATACACATACACACATACATACATGCACAGATACGTACATACATAGGTACATTCATACATGCACACATACGTACATACATAGGTACATTCATACATACATATAAACATACATACATAAATAGACAGCGCCAAATTCCGAGGGCCGCGTCCGGTGCTGTGCAGCGACTCCACCGCCCACCTCCAAAATGCAAAACTGAGCTGGCATTCCCCCCTCCGCTTATCACACGGCCGCTGCATCAGGCACCGAGTTCTCTCCGCCGTCAGCCCTCACAACTTAGAATGTACGGATGTACGGCAGTGGTACGATGCGGCCCTATGGCTATTGCTGCTACTGCTGCCCGCATATACCCGAAACCTTCACAAAAGGCCACCTCAACGTCATTCAGCCTCCACAACTCCCAACCTGCTCCTGCACACTGTCCGACACCCGAGGACATTGGGGAGCCCCAAAACACACAAACACACGAACACGCACGCGCAGGTGGTGTATGTGCGTGTATGTGCACGTGCACAATCCCCCCTCCGCTCCGTCACCACGCAATCGCGAAGCGTTAATCTGTAGCGAGCAAAAGCGAGCGACACGGGGTCGGCCTAGTCGGCACAAGACAAGCTCTTGATGAATCAGTCTTGCGAAGGCGGGGCGGGAGGGGAGCTGCCGCACCCGGCTGGCCAAATGGGTCCGGCTCCGTGCCGCCCGGGAGGATAGAGAGAAGGGGAGAGAGGGAGAGGCCGGACGCGGGGGGGAAAGGGACGGAGACGGAGAAGCCCCGCAGCACACACCAATTCGCGCACGTGGACACACACACACACACAGAGGCACGGCGATAAGGTTGCCTTCCAGCACAAACGCGCACGGCACAAGGGACGACGCAGTCTTGAGTCTCCATTTCACAGTCGCGTCCCGCTGTACGGCTACTGCTAAGAGCACCTGTACGGAACCCCTCCCCTCCTTACACACACCATATACATACGGACAGACGCACGAACATTTCGGCATCCTCTTTACCATGTCCATTACCATGTCCAATTTGGTGGGTTTCACACGCCCACAAGCACACGCCCATCCTCATCCACAGCCACCCCTACCCTACCATTCCCCCCTACGCACAGGGGACACACACATACACACACATACACACAAATACACAAACCTCCCCCCCCACCCACCGACTCCCCCTGACACGCGTGTGGATGTCCGCGTGCCCCGCGCACCGCGTGCGTGCGCAAGCTCCTCCATTCTCCTGAATCACCCCCAAAATTCATCCGCGGCCCCGCGTCGTACGGCAGCCCTCCACTCTCGCAGATTGTGCACGAGACACGGCACCGAGAAGTACGGTGTGATCAATGCGGCGTGTGCCCCAGATCGTTCTCTCGGCCGAGAAAGCCATCGGGCTCGCCAGTTCGTGGTGCATCTGCAGCTGAGGACCGACCGAACGACAAGGTGCGACAAACCACCACCTAAATACGAAGAAGGAGGAGGAGAAGAAAAAGGAGGAGAAAAAGATGGAGAAGAAAAAGAAGGAAGAACTCCGTTGAATCGTTAAATACCGCCTCCCGGGGGTTCCCCCCACAGACACGCCTTTGCGCTTCTACCCCCCTAGGAACGCGACAAGGCGACGTACATACATACACACACATGCATACGCGCGCGCGTACCGGTATGCATGCTGGTCTCGTCAATTTGCGTGGTATTCGCCTCTCGCTGACAAGAAAACATCGTTAGCCAGCAGCTCCGAAGCCGAAGAGAAACTACAAAACTGAAACCAAGCAACCGCCGCAACCACCTAGACGTATACATTTCCATCCGTAAACAAGCGAAGCGAACACATCTCAAATCAAGGTGGGTGGTCCACCATGCAGCAAAAAATAAAGTGTTCCGGACCTGACCCACCAAAGTTATGTCAGACCGGCGTGTATGTGTAACGTGTGTACGACTCGTACGCGTGTCGTACAACGCACAACGGCACTGGAAAAGAGCCCAGCCCAGTCCGCAAGCGTCGTCATGGTAAAGGCAGACCGCCTGTACACATGCATGCATGTATGTATGTATGCAAGCAAGCAAGAGAACCCCAAGATGTTTACGGTTGTTGCGGTCAGTCGCATGATTGTCGGTCGTATGAGGAAAAATCCCCCCGATGCCAGAATCGTACGACATATCTGTACGACAAGTACGGCAGGAGGTATGAGGTGGATAAGCAGCAACTAGGCAGAGATGACACAGCCCCCTCCACCCTCCCCGCCGCCCAAACCACCATCACCCCCGCCGCCGCCGCCGCCAGGAAATATCTCCCCAGGTACCTCTGATGAAAGGGAGCCCACAACGGCAACGCCAAGTACCTCAGCTCCCGCTGTGATCCCCTTGACCACCCCACCATGTTGCGCCTCCCGGTGAGTGTGGGTGGATGGATGGAGGGGGGAAAGTCCTGCGTCCTTTTTGCTGAGAATGCCTGCAGGTCATGCGAGACCCCGAATGCCTCATCATGGCGCAACACACACACATACACATACATACATACACACGCACACGCTCTCTCGCTCTTTCTGTGTGAACCACAACACGACAAAACGACAACACAACGTGTCGGGGGCCCTCGAAAGCCCCTTGCAAGGAAAAAATATCATGTAATGGCGTGGAACCCGCATTCGCTCCCCCCATTCGCTCCCAAGCCCCATGCTTGCTATGTGCTGAGAGTGCTCGTGATGATGAACCAAATTATTCTTGTAGTATGCAAGTGAACAAAAAACGCGGACTGCTCCTGCTCCTGTTGCTGATGCTGCAACTGCTATATAATGATAGTGAAGCCCTCCGCGCCCGAATGCGCTGATGGACAAGCAACGCAACATTGTGCGTTTACCAACCCACCATCTCCTCAGTTTTAGAGCCCTGACTCAGACGGTTGAGTCAGGCAGCCTTTCCGATGCCATTTGTACGGCATAATGTACGGACACAGCACACATGCCGTACATGATGCCCAAGCACAACGCATCACAATGTTTAACTCACGTTGTTTTCAACTCAACTCGCACGTCCTGCCATTCACGTATTCAAGGTACGCTCTCGTAGGCAAATGGACGGATGGACGGACTGACGCACAGATATACATATGCACCCGTGCGCGGAAAGCTAGCCAAGAGCAAAGCAACATGGATTCCGTCGGGCCAGAGGAATGCCAGGAAAGCCGAGCCGAGCTCTCCCTCCGAGACCAGCCTTCCCGCCCGCCGCCCCCTCGCCACGGCCCCAAACAGCCTCCCGGACTTCCCCCCCCAATGCGCTTTCAAGGACCCCCCCGCAGCAGGCTGAGCCGGCGGGTGGCGGCGGGTGGCAACCCGCCATCGCAAGGCCCACCCCCACCCCCACCCCCACCCCCCTGGGTGCGCGCTGCATCTCGCCTTCCACAAGAGGTGGTGTCGCCGAAACACACCCTGTCACGGGATCGGTTTGAGCGAGGGAGGGAACAGGAGGTTCCATCCACCACCCAGGCCGACCAAATCCACCACCCAGGCCGACCAAATCCACCACCTAATCCACTGCAACCACCGCCGGACTTTTCGGAACAAAGACGAGAGTCCTTATGGAGAGTCCTTATGAGACCGTCCACCATTTCAAAACCTATGTGCGCGAGAGCTTCCACACGACGACTGACGAAAACTGCCATGCCAACCACAGCGAGCAGGCGAGCAACCGCCGTCCACTTCCTCCCCACCAGCGAGATAGCTTGATACATAGATAGATAGATAGATACGCAAAAAAGATACTACACCGTATAGCCGCGTCCTCCCTTTTTTCAAATCACATCATGTCGTGCTCGCCTGCCTACCCTGCCTTACCGTTGTGGTCATGTGTACTGCGTTCCGTGTTTACTGTTCTTCTGTAGTGTCCTACTTTATCAATCATCACAGTGCTATAGTCACGTTTCCCTAGCTACAGCCTAAATGTAAAAAAGTCCCTGGCTCGCCCAGCTGCCCCGCATGCATGTGCATGATGCAATGCATCCCGATGCCATGCCATATGATGTATGTGAGATGTGTTCGTCCCAGCACCCCCCAACTGCGCCCAGTTGTGCTCAACCACCCTAAGGATCCCAAGCATGCATGCATATGTGCGTGTTTGTGCGTGTTTGTTCGTGCGTGTTTGTGCGTGTGTTATAGAGTCAGCTAGCTGTACTTGTTGCGATTACTATAGTAATGTATCTGCTCCTACTGCCTTTCTCCTCCCCATCCTGCAATTGGCTGCCAAAACCGAGTGAGGAATCACAAGCACAAACGCGTAAAAACACAAAACCACGCAGTAAAACACGCCCTTTCTGTGAGTGAGTGATAATAACAATAAGTCAGACAAAATGATGAAGATGCCCCCTAAGCCAAATGACTAAGATTCTTTCGCTGTCGTTAGGCGAGGAAACAGCATGGTGCAAAATGAAGTACTGGGTGAGGAAGAAAATAGCCACCACCACCACCACCACCGACAACAACAACAACAACAACAACAACAACAACAACAAAACACACACACACGCTCTCAGACACCCCCACGCGCCATGACACCATGCTCCCCACTCCCAAGCCCAGCTGTCAAGGCTAACGTGCATTCTCCTCCGGTGGCAGTACGACACTCCCGATCAATACGGTCGGGGGGAATCATAAGACCCACTTAGAAGCCCACAGACACACACATACGTACATACACACACACGCGAGCGTGGGGTTCCCGGATCAACCGCACAGGACCAAGGACATGCCCATTGCGCGCCCCGGTGGCTGCAGCAATTTGTGGGGAAAAAAGAAGCCTGCGATTATACACACACACACACACACACACACACACGCGCGCGCGCTCGCACACAGACACGTGCTCCGTTGCGCCAAGAGATCCACATCGTAAACCCTAAGTCCTCGCAGCTTAGTTTATAGTCGATATCATCCGGGAGGGCGGGGGTTTTGAGCGCAAGGGAGATCATCACCCGGTGCCTGAAACCCCACGAGGGGGGGAGCCGGTCTGGCGGGAACACAGGCCGTGCCGCACTGCACCCTCTTCCGACTCCAGCCACACCGGCCGCCGGCCGCACCCCCGGGGCCCTTGAAAGACCGCCTCAGTTACCTCTTCTCCCCCTCGGGGCCCCTCCCGCAGCCCGGGGGTGGTTGGGCCCCCCGGGGGTCAGAAGGGCCGGGGGAAGACGAACCACGTGAACGAGTGAAGCTGATGCCACGGAGAATAAACTGATACGCCGGAAGTAAGGAAGCCACAACTAACCAGTCGAGGCTTGGACATGGGTGGTGCGGTGTGTAACTCTCAACGCATTGACGCATTGCTGTCCAACAGGTGGTTGCGGAGAGGGGTTGGACCCCGCCGTACATCAAGTGCCGTACGCTCATAGCTACCCCAAAGCTCAACGATATGTTTACCGCCCTGCCGCTGCTGCAAGTGCTGCAAGTGCGAAATGCAATCAATCGTGGTAAGACGCACAAAGCAGAACGCCTTGCGCACTGCTGCTGCCGGCGCTGCTGCTGCCGGCGCTGCTGCTCCTGCTACCCTGTGTGTGTATGTATGTACGTATTATGTATGTGGAGGCTATCCGCGTCGTCTGTAGCTCCACCGTCTGTCAGCAGCTCGTCACCCCCCGGGTTTGGGTTCCTTGTAATCGTTGCTCCTTTGTTGCTGTTTCCGCCGCCGCTGTTTCTGCAACTCTTTTAACATGTTGCCGTGTTTTGCAGCTGCCCGTACGTCCTCGTTCCATTTGGATCCAGTTTGGAACCAAACCAAGACACACCCAAACACTGCGGCAGCCGCAGAAATGGGGGAACTGTCCGCGGCGGCATAGCGCAGCCTCCACATACACCGACATATACACACATACAGACACACACAGCGTAACGCGCCTTGACGGGTCCGTGATGCAGCAAGTCACACTTGCGGTCCTGGGTCCGGAAGTGACGTCAATGATGATGTCGTACAGCCTACTGCCTGCACCAGGGACCATCCCGCCGCGGGGTCTAGGTCGACCAGTGAGCGGGGGGGAGGCGGGGGTACCGGTGCGGGGGAAAGTGGCAACCCCTGAGGAGCCCGTTCACCAAAGGCAGCTGCCCAAATCTCTTCACAGCCTACCGTCCAAGTACGAGAGATCGGCGCGGATACCGCGAGCTGGGGCCCCAACTGTTGTTGTTGTTGCTGCTGTTGCTGTTGTAGCAACAGTTGCTGTCGTTGCTGGAGCTTCTGTAGCTGCAGGGCCTGTTGATTTTGGAAGGCGCGAGGGCCCGGGCCCGCTACTGCCGCTGCCGCTGCTGCTGCTATGGCCGCTGCTGCTGCCGCGGGCGGCGGTACGGACGGCGGCGGCGGTGGTTGCTCCAGCTCGTGTGGCTGCTGTAGGGAAGCTTGGGTGGCGGCTCCGCCTCCCTGGACAGGGAATCGAGCCGGAGGCCCAGAGCCGCCCCGAGGCAGAACGCCGCTGCCGGAGTTGAAGCCAATGCCCACGCTGCTGCTGCACGGGTTGTTTCTACCCGGACTGTTGCCACACAAGCCGCCGCCGCTGCCGCGCCCGCCGCCGGCCGTACCTGGCAGCACCGCCGCCGCGTCCTCACCCAGGGTCCATTCAGTCCAAAGCGCCGCTGCTGCGCCTTCCCGCGGGGGGTGCGGCTCTTGCATGTCATGCACCTGCTGCTGCTGCTTCTGTTGTTGTTGTTGTTGTTGCTGCTGTTGTTGTTGCTGTTGTACGTGCAGCAGCAGCTGCGATAGTGTTCCTGTATCAAGCATTCTGACAGAAGGCTGTTGATGCTGCTGTTGGTGCTGCTGTTGGTGCAGGGCTGCCAGCAGGGTATCGCTGCGGGAGCCGCTGCTTCGCCGTCCTGGGCGACCCACGGGCGGCATGAGGGGCAGCGCGCCGCCGGCTGGGGGGGGAGGTAGACAGCTGGCTGCCGCACAGCCTGGAGCCACTGCGGGAGGGGAGCGGTTGAGGTACGGCTGGAAGCGGGCCCCCGTGGGTTGGGCCGGAGCCTGGGACGGGGTTAAGCCAGGGACGGGGGCTAGGCGGCGCAAGGGACCCTGGAAGGCGGTGAGCCCCTCCGCGGTGTCGCTCAAACCTAGCTCTAGCAGCAAAGGCTGCAGCTGCTGGTCGTGGTGCTCCGGCTGATGCTGGTGTTGGTGGTGCTGGTGTTGGTAGTATTGGTGGTGCTGGTGTTGGTAGTATTGGTGGTGCTGGTGGTGTTCATGTAACTGGTGGTATTTGAGCGTCATCTGCTGCTGCGGCTGCAGGTACAGGTCGCTGAGAGGTGGGCCCAAGAGCTGGGGTCCCCCAGTTGGGAAAGTTTGACCGCCGTTACTGCACGCAAGGCTTCGCGGTTCCAGCACCACAGCAGGTCCATGCCTTGGAGGAGGAGGCCAAGTTGATGGAGTGTGCTCCGGGATGCGTTCCGCAGCCGCGCCCAATGCCGGGCTTCCCGATGACGCAGGGGCCTTGAAGATCGGGTTTTCCGGCACAGTCTGACCATCCTTGACCCACATTCCCAATGGCTCGACGATGAATAAGCGTCTGCGCCGGGTGGCCCCATCGTGTTGCAACGGTCCGACAGCCGCAGCGATAAGGCGCGGCCGTTTCTCGTCACCGCAAGGTGATAATACGTTCGCAGGCCCAATTACCTGCATATTGAATTCCCCAAAATGAGTCAATTGAAGGGCGTTATTTCCTGGTCGTCCAGTCGCACAACGCGACGGAGTACACTGTAATACTGCTGAGTTTCAGCTCTAATACGACTTCAACAGAGCCCGATGCGCGAAGTCCTGCGTCCGACGCTTCCCACCTCGGGGTCCTTCAGCTGGCCTTCCCAGGCATACAACTCCAGCTCGGGCACCAAACTATCAACCATAACTTGCAGCCCTTAAAATCCTTGCAATCACCAATGAAATGCAGGACTATTTGGTACGCGGTTCAGCAAATAATCTTTCCTTGCAAATCAATCCACAACTCGTTCCTGCAGCACAACGGCTTTCAGCTCGACAGGGCTTCCAACGTACATATTATGCAGAGGAGTGCATATCGAAGCCATAATGGCCTTCTAGGACAATGCTCATCTTTCATGCGTTAAGTTTACAATTATTGTACGCAACACGTCTTACTGCGCTGTCTTCGGTTGTGTCGGAGGGCCCTTTACTGAATCGATAAAATGACGTACGGCATCGACACCCTTCACCTTCAATCTGAAATGTTGGTGATTGGTCTGCTGATTGCAAAATCAAATGACCACGGTGCATGTTTCATTGCGAGATTCGCTCTCGTGGACGTGTAAAAACGGACATCTCGAGTAGCCTCCTGAGAACGAACGCAGCACCTACTGCACGCCATGTTAAGGTCCTTACAGATTTTATAATTTGAGCTCATTATTGTGCGTTAGTTGTGCGCACTCTAGCACTCCGAGGAGTTGCTTTGCTTGCACGTACACCAGCACGCCGACACTTTCACGGTTAGATTTATCAATAGTGACATATATCAGGAGTGTGATTGAGTATGGTAAGTACTATGAATATTGGACACAAGTGCTGAGCAACTGAGTCCTGTACTTCGTCCATCTGAATCCGTATTTGGACTGCAAATTAGCAGTTGCGACTTAGCAGAGGCTACTGGCAGGTATAGACATTGCACCGCAAACCCTGGGTTGCATTCTACATATTTAGCTTATCTTTTTAAAGCGAGAACAAGTAACGTGTACTGCTGGTGCAGCATAAGGTCGCTGCATGGCTGCAGTGCGTTTTCCATGTATGTGCAAGTGGATTGGGAAGTGCACTGCTGATTTGGGCAACAGTGCGGACGTCGTCCGAGCTAGAAAACAACGTGCGACCTCATAAAGTGCCGTACGATACGTTGCTGTTGCAACCATAACCATCGCAACCACAGCCACCACAACCACCACAACCAGCACCAGACGTTCAGCATATTGAGTTAGTGGCAATGATTCGGTGCCTCGCCGTCATCAGCCGCGGACCACCCGCAGCCACCACCCCCACCACCCCCGTGTACAGCTACAACTGCCGCGTGCCGTCCACGTCTATCCACCTTCTACCGCCTACCACCTTCCGACAGCCTTATACCAGCCATATATATATATATACATATACATATACATATACGACATCCCCATGATAACACCAGCAATCCTTAACAACCACAACAACTAACGATGCAACTTCCACCGTTGCACCCACCACCGCCGTCACTGCTAGCAAAAAAACACCAAGCGATGGTACATATCGAGGATTTTGTAAAGAGCATGCATGAGTGCCGCATGCATGCGTCTGATACCACTGGCCACGTCTGTATGTATCCATCAATAAAACTCACAATAGTCCGGCGGCTGTAGCTTGGCGTGTGCTTAAGCCAGAGGTTAGGGAACTGGGAAACTGGGGAGCGTTTCGGGTAGTGTGCGCCCCTTAGTGTGCGCACTACCGACTACCTCCCGATGATTGAAGCGGCGGAAGGCGGGATGCTGGTGCTGGTGCTGGTGCTGGTGCTGGTGCTGGTGCTGGTGCTGGTGCTAATGCGCCCGACTTGACATGCATGATGCATCATCCACACCGCGGTCATGCCATACAAACGCCTACATCATGCAGCACCGGCGGGAGGCGCACTTGCTTCTGGGCACACCACCACAGCACCGGCCGTACCTAGCTTCAGGCATGTACATGCTGCGCCTACAGCCCAACAGCTTTCACACAGCTGAAGGGAGCAGGAAAACACAGCGGCCGTCAGTAGACGAGAGTAACAGTCCGCGGGACCACCAGCGGGTGCAAGTGTTATGCAAGTGATTAAGCCTACAACCAAGGCTCCGGTAAAACGCGTATGTGGTAATGCGCCTGAGCGGGGGAACCGACGACAGACAGGCAGGCATTGTTAGGAGTACGAGTACCAGCCAAACGAATAAAATACGGCGCCATTTACAGCGCCGATAAATTACAGCAACCAGACACGCGTCGCCGTAGTTCAGGCAGGTTTGGTTGACCAGCAACTTGATTTCTATGTAAAAGGAAATTCGTGGTCATATACGTGCACACACACACATACACACACCGTTTCGCCCGACAACTTATACTCACATTACTTGTGGCCGCAGGCCGCCGCCAAGTGGCGAATTACGCATCATATTCCTCTGATGGTTGCTCAGCTACTGAGCTACAGCATATGTCCTGCGGGGCTGCCTCCCGAGATGCACAGGGGCGGACAGGCGGTAAAATCTCCCTACGATGCCAACACCCTACCAGTACCCGAAAAGATTACCAAAATGGGAAGAAGCTACTCTACACAGCTGCCACATTTCCCTAGATCGGACGAAGCGCTATTTGGATGTGCGCGTCAGGCGCATCAGGCAAAGCACCGCAGCGGTGTTAGCCGCACGCAGCCGCAGCTGTTGTGCTGCTGGCATCAAGCATCCGCGCAGAACCCAACACACAACACACGCCCGGTGGTGTTCGCAGGTTCACATCGCTGTGTCTACCGCACGGCTGCACCCCGCTGCCGCGCGCGAGTTAACCCCCCTTCTTCCCCCCTTGCGTAAAAAGAGCGAGAACGACAGCAACGACAGCAACGACAGCAACGGCCTCCATGAGCCCAGAAGGACACGGAAACACAGTTGTCGACAGGTGGCAAGCAACCAGATCCTTCCAGCCCGCGATATATATATATATATATCGGCAATCGCAATCACAGTCGCAATTAACTTGGGCTGGCAACACCGAACAGGGGCACACGAAGACCCCGGGGAAACGCCGGAGGGAGGGATACGACTCGATGTCGATACACCAGAAGCTAGCAGCACCGCGTGTGCCGGCAAACCCAATCCAGCCACAACGTGAACAGTCCGCTGCTTTAGCGATACATCCGTCCTTGCATCGACATATCCATGCATTAATCTACCCATGCATCCTAGCAAACATTTTTGGAAATCACACGCTTGCACCCTGACGGGGGTCTGCTTTGCCAGAGGGAAAGACCCCGGGGACCACTCGGACCACACAACGTAGGGGGGGCGCAGCGGTGCACAACTCAAATAACTTCAGGAACGAAGCTGGTGTTCACTTCCGACACTGGCAACAGCAATGCACAGTGTCCAATGCGCGCAAGAGAACATTCCCGAGCCCGATATCTATGCATGTATGTATGCATGTACACCGTGTTCATAAAAGAGCTCACCTACAGCATGGGAGCACTAGGCCAGACGAGGAACAGCTGGTGTGCTGATGTGACTACATTACCACGCACATGCAGTCAGACAGGGCATGAGACGGCACTCGTCCACACGCAAAAACAATTAGAATCCGGGGCTTGATCAGAGGCTTTCCCGGGAACCACGAATCTCAAACAAGTACACTGTCACAAACACTCACCCTGCCCGTCATGCTTGTGCGCGTGAAAAACTGCTGCAGGAAGCTGCCACATCGGCCATCGCCAGCTTCCCCCACTCCCCCAGATCTCCCCCCCCCCGTTCGCACGATCTGGTCCTACGCAGTTTTTCCGGTGCTGTCGGTGCCGCCGCCAGTGCCAAACATCGCGGCCGCCGATGCGGATGACGATACTCGGTGCCGTACGCGTGTAACCACGGCGCCGGTGGTGACAGGCGGGCGGTTCACCACCGGGTTTTGTGAGAAGGCCGCGGGCACGGCCACGGGCACGGGGGCTGCCGCCGCTTGGACTGGCGCGGGAGCTGACCTGGCCGGGTCAGCGGCGCTGCTGCTGTTACTGTTGCTGTTCCTGGGGACTGCTGTCTGAGAAGATCCCCACGGAGGCGGCGGTGACTCCGGAAGCGAGGACGGCAGGGAGGACGAGCCCCTCACCATGGAGGCCTTTAGCTCCGTGTGGACCTCCTCCCTCGATGACATGCCGTGGCTGTAGCTGCGCGACGTCCCGAGTTTGCTGGTGATGTGGCAGGCGGTGAAGCCGGCGGTGGCGCTGGCAAGACCGAATGGGGAGCTGCCGGCAGCCGGAACGACAGGCGAGCTGACGGTACCGTCGCGGGTAGGGGACACGGCGCCGGAGGTGAAGACGGGGCCGCCTGCAGGCCCCCCCCCAGGCGAGCTGGTGGCAGCGCGGGTGGGAACGTCTCCGGCGGCTGTGTAGGCGGCTGGGAGGAGTTCAGGACAGGTGGGTGAGCTGGTAGTCTGGACGTCCGGCATGCCATCCTCGACGGAAGAGTCAGCGGCGGCGGCGGCGGCGGCGGCAGCGGCGGCGGCGGCGGTGCCCTGGTTGACCGTTACGACCGCAAATGACGGGGACTGGCGATGGCGTGCGGGTCCGAACAGTTCGGCCAAGATCATTTGGGAATTGGATGTTGTGGAATTAGGATAGCTACTCCAGCCAGGTTCAGCACTATCCACTTGGGACGGGAAGGAGGCGGCAGCAGGATTGGCGAGAGCACCGGCACCCATGCCAGTGGTGGCCATGTCCGGGGCAGCTGCGAACCCAGTGGTGGCTGGGCCTGCAGCGGGAGTACGAAACGCCACTGGCATTGCGGTTGCGGTGCACCTGGGCCCCTCGTGGCTCATGGGCAATGGGGCAAATGCTACGGTTTGCCCACCAGGCGGGGTGGCCCCAAATGCCTGTCCGGTACTCGTCTCAATGGCCATGTTCGGCATCGCATTTTCGCCCGCAGTGCAGCTGCGCACGGTGGTGACTGGGAAGTTTGTGGGGCCTGCGACGCCGAAGCCACCGGCTGGAGTGCATGCGAGCTCAGGAGCGCCCCGGAGGACGCCTGCAGTCCTTTCATCCGGCGCCGTTGATGTGCCGCAGGGTGGCATCTCCGGCATTCTGCTGCGGCTGCTGGTGTTCATAAGGCCTTGGCTTGTGGGCGAAGTGGCAGTCTGGCTTGACCTGTCCCGCGCAGCGAATGTGCCGTAGTTGTCAGGTGGACCATCAAAGGAGCTGGCCGCGGCCGGCTGCACTGACAACAGGTTATGTTGTTGTGTCGATGCCGGAAGTCCGGAAGCGGGACTAACACCTCCGTCATTGTTGCTGTCGCCATGCGCCCAGAGCCGATACAGCTTAGCTGCTGAATACACACCGCCGCGAATGATGTCCTTCATGTCGGTCATGCTGCTCTTCCGCACCTTGAGGCGGTCACCAGACAACAACCGAGATGATTGTTGGTCCGATGTTTGCGGCGGCAGGGGACCCCAGGCCGGCGGTGCCGTCTCCGTGGCCGCCGATATCGCCGTCCCAACCGGCGACACCAGCTGGACGCGCGGTTCGGCTGCAGACCCGTGGGTCACTAGTGCGCCTGGCGGATGGGGATATGGCGAGCTCATCGGCATGGAGTGGAGCACCGTCGAAGTGCCCGCGGCTGCACCTGTCGAAATGGCAGCACTGCCGGCCATTGCCTCGGAAGCATCGAGGTCAGCTTGCCGTACATACCGCAATGGGGAATTGCTGCCAGCGGGGTCAATGTTTGCTGCTTCGTGAAAGAGGGTGGCCCCAGGCCCGCTTTGGCCGAAGCGCTTTGGCGAACCCTCCAGGACTGTTGAGTAATGGGGAGCTTCCTGAGGCTGCCTCCGCTGGAGCTGCTCGAGTGGCTGCGTCTGCTGCGGCAGCTGGGGGTGTGGTGGCTGCTGGGGGTGTGGTGGCTGCTGCAGCTGCTGGGGGTGTGGTGGCTGCTGCGGCAGCTGCGGTAGGACATGATGGTCTTGCGGGGATGGAGCTGCCAGGCCCGCCGTTCGCAGCTCTGGTGAGCCCTGGAGGCTCCAGGTCGTGCTTGGCAGGGCATTGTTGCCGCTGCTACTGGGCATGTGAACACGATGCGGCTCCATGGGCTGCCAGAATGCAGCCTCGGCTGGCGGCGGCGGTTGTGGGAATGTGTCCGCAGACATGGTCAGTCGAATGGTGCTTCCAGTAGCCGTAGCGGCCGACTCTGGGTAGCCGGAAGGGGCTTCACGTTTGGAAGGGCATGTCCCGGCCCAGGAGCGGCGCGGCAAAGATTGCGGGGTCTGTTCGGGACGCCGAGGTGGCAACTGCAGCATTTGTTGCAATTCAGACTTATCCATGTCCATAATGCCGGAGAGGCTGACGCCCAATGGCTGTACGAGCAAAAGGCGCCTTCGTTGGCCGGGCCGAGAATCCAACGGTTCCGCTACCTCGGCGACGACACACATGTCAGCTGAAGCCTCCTGCTCAGCGGCCTGCGGTAAGGTGGAAAGTTATTAAAAACGTTGAGGAATGTAAACATTAGGTGATCAATAAGGCAAAAAACAGTACAATCATTCCAGGCCAAGTGTCCGGCAGGATGGACGAGAACGGCGGGCGAAGGCGGGCACACTTTTCCGCTTACAACTAAAGCTTCATTTCAGCTTCCAGAGCGAGTAACGCAAAAGTCTTGTCCCTAAATGTCTGTAATTAACCAAAGATTATATTTTATTTCTTTTTATGAAGGCAAGGCCGGGCGTAAAGTGACAAGACCGGCAGTGGGGTCCCGAGCTGTCCTGAACCTTGAATACTTGCCCGTGAAGACGAAGCTGGTTGTGCGCTGTACAATTGATCGTTTTCCATCCTACAATTGAGCTGGCTGTATCGCGTCTTTCGCGAGCTGTGTGCTCGATTCTCCTCGTTGCGGCTTGCGAGACGTCCAAAATCGGTCATCCGGATGAGATGCATGTATTTGGCAGGGTTCATTCCATTCAGCCTATAACTTCACGTACTTTAAGAACGCGTGAAATAATATAACGCATTGTGCATCCTATAACAGCTATCCGGGACAAGACTGCAAAACAAATGTTCCATTGACTATTGGTTTGCTAGCTTACCATAATTACATGTCATCTAAGTGCTTCTTAGTGTGAATTGTGCAAAAGTGGGCTTTGTCATGCTCCATGACTAGCGTGGCACTGGAGTACAGAACATACAATGTTGTACAACTGCCTCCAGAGCTGAAAAGAAATTGCACGGGCTGCCCGCGCAGTTGCCGGCTAAAGTCCATGCCTGTTCATGCCAGTTAAACCACTTGTGCATGTGGCATGCACTAGGACGACATGCATATGCGATTTCATAGTGGGTGCGTGCCAAGTCTGGGAATTCCTATCTAGCGGCAAAACATCTCGGAATCGGAACGGAACTCTGATGCCCGGTTGGAAGTACTGAATAATTGAAGCACCCTCATAGAAGCCCTGAGGAATGACATGCTAAGACGTATATCGAACAACAGAATTGATTTGGATGTAATGCTGGCGAGGTCTAGCGGCGCCTCACGCCGAGCGCCCTATCCAGTGCATGGCGTAAAAGCACCCAATCTTGGAAGCCATGTAATTCCATAATTGAAAGAACTAACGTTGAAATGGATTTCCTTTGCCGCAGAGAGAGCCACATCAAAGTACTTCTGCGGCAGCTGCCGCAATTGCCTCGATGCTTATATAAGCCATGGCATGACGAATCTGGACGAATTATATCGCCAATGCTAAGGGAGATTTATATGGTGCGATTTTTCACTTGACTTTGGTTGTTGATATCTGCTTTTGAAATGGCTGTCAGCTCAGCCGCCAGCTTAGCCGTTAGCTAAGCTTTCGATCAGGAGCTGGACTTCCCGGGAGTCTTGGCTACAATCGCATCAGCTGGGGGCGAATTTGAGCCAAAACAGGGTGTGCAACAAGGCTGTCCACTGTCAACTGAGTTGTTTGGACTTTCCATTGGAACTCTTGCGACGCCATCGATATGCATGACGGTGCTAACACCAGGGCACGGCCGGAGGATGCACCGGAGGTTGGCAATGAGCGGGTGTCCATCCTCCTCTATGCTGATGACGTTAGTCTTCTGGCAACGACACAGGGGCGCTTGGCGGAGCTGTCAATCGTTTCGTGTGCTTTTGGGATGCGGCCAAATGCGTCGAAATGTGAAAGGCCTCGTTTTTGCTAGCGACAGCGACACAAGGAGTGCTGTTCAAGCATCGTGTAATGAGCTCAGGCTGGCCGGTGAGGCCGTACCGGCTAAGGGGAGTGCACGATATCTGGGGTTAGTGCGTACGGGCCAGAACGGCCGTTTTCGGGCCTGCCGCCAGCAGTTGTACGACACAGCTGGGACGTTGAGTACAAAGTTGGATAAGCTAAAGCTGTTCGCCCCAGATGTGAGGGCGAGGTGCTTTGATACGCAGGTACGAGCAACACTGTTGTATTTCTGTCAAGCGTGGGGACCACCTATGCTAGCTGAAGTCTTGGACAGGCTCAGGAGGCGGAGTGATGCGAGAGGGGCCCTTCGAGGCATGTCTGAAGGACGGAGCAGTGCAGCTTCAGGTATCGATTATGCGGCAAATTGCGGGAACTGTCGGACCAGCACTCCGCCTCCTGTTCGCTGGCTTGTCGCGGCTACCCCTGCACTACCATGTTTTCAAGCAGATTGTGAGGTTTTCAAACCGTGTCCGTTTACAGCGTGGGTCTGTGGCACACCAAGTTTCGCGACAGGAGGTCGTAGAGTCCCTCTCCAACCCCGAAGGAGCCGGATGGGGGACACTACTCCTCCGTTTTCTAAGTTTTCCGGGACACCGGCGTATGGAAAGAGGCCCCGCAAGGGCTACATGAGGTAGACGAACGAGTGGAGTGGCTCATGAACAGGCCATTTACAGAGGGGGTGTTTCCACTTGGATTATAAGTCACGGATTAAGGCTTAATCCGTGGCATATGGAAACATCGCGCGGGTTAGACGGATTAGGCGGATTACGGTTGGCGGGATTAGTTAGGTATCTACGCCCGTATCCGCGCGCTTCGCGGATTACAAATAGATTAATATATTAAAAATGTGCACATTCTTCCTATACTAAAAACTCAAACTCGGTGGAAAAAATTTGCTACAGTAACTTGGTGGCCACCAAGTATTAACACGTTTTACAGCGCTTCATAAAAACCTTATTGATAGCTTGGAATGTTATCTGTTATAAAGGCTGTAGGTGTTCCTAAGGGGGTGTTTCCACTTGGATTAAAAGTCGCGGATTAAGGTATTTTTAAGCCGCGCCAATCCACCGCTAATCCGTCGGAGTGTTTCATACGTCTGGATTAAGAAACGGATTGAAGTACGACACTTGCTCATTCCGTGCATAAAATGCAAAAACGAGTATTGCCATACATTTAAAAGACTATCGAGTATCAACATGAAGGCCTTGTAGCACCTTTGAACGATACCCACGGTGTGGTGCATAATGCCGAACAAGAAGCACAAAGCTTCCACAAAACTAGGAACACCTACAGCCTTTGTAAAGGATAACCTTCCAACCTATCACTCAGGCTTTTAATGAGGCGTCATGAAAAGTGTTAATCCGAGATTGTCAATTTGATACCTGGTCCCCCCCCCCTCCCGGAGTGCCTATGCCCCGGAGCGGAAGTTGGCTAACGAACTACGGCGAGGCCAGGAACACCAATTCAATTAATTATTGCTTTTCCTGATAGCTTAAATTTTGCGCAAAGCGGGCATACTTTAAAAGACGGAAACTGCGAATGCCGGACAGAGGTCACACATTTACATAATGCAAAATGAACGACCGAAAGAGCCCATGAACCTACAGAGCTAAACAAAACTTATTCATTTAACTACTTCAATAAAGAGCTCAACCAGCGGACGTCTCCGACTTCAACCTGGCCAACGATGATACCGGACCTCTTCTTTTAAAGGGATTTCAGATGACCTAAACTTATAAGAAACACAATACAATGTAATAAACCATAAATGGTTGTGAAAAGACGGCGATGACGGAACCATCGGACGCGACGCAGAGTTTCCGAGACGTGCAAATGGGGACGAGAGGCCATCCCGGGCAGCCGATCACAGCTGGCGCGCAGCTTGGCGCGGGGCCGGCAGTGTTTGACGCGCTCAAGCTCAACGACGTGGGGGCGGCCTGTGCCGCTGAGCAGATGGCCAGCGCTGCGCCCTGGCTGGAAGCGGCCCTCGGCTACAAGACACCGGACGGCGTGCAGCAGCTTACGATACAGGGCGTGTCATACCAGAAGTTCCAAGCCGGAGGACTTCACAGTGCGGCTGTCGGAACTTCCCCGTAGTATGAGCATGGCGGAGCTTTTCAATCCCAGCAAGGCAGGGAAAGGGGGGGCTGTGGATATGGGACGCGTCCGATTGCTACTGGCGCAACTGTTAGTCACGGAACGGATACCAGGGCACGTCTTGCCATCTCTTCACCACAGCGTGCACAGCGGCCCTCTGCCCTGGGCAGGCGACGTGCAGCTACCGACCAACAGGGGCTTCGCATTGAGCTCTGCGACAGCAGAGCACGCGCATGCGAGGGAGTGTGCCTTGCTCCGTGGTTTTCGCTGGGTGGTAGTGGCGACATGTGGACAGCCGGGGCCGCCATTTGACACCGAAGTAAAAAAAACCACAGCCCCACCTGCACCCACGACCGCGTCCCCACCTGCGCCTGCACCCACGACCGCGCCCACGCCGCGGCCAGACGCTGCCATGGCAGCGGCAGCAGTGACTGGTCCCTCGAGCAGTGGTGCTGAACGGGTGTTAGAGGAGGGCAATGGCAGCAAGAAGTCCCACCAGTCGTCAAAGCCAAAGTGAGAACACCAGGGATTGGGGCCTTAACCTGTTCAGTCGATGTAACGGTTCACTAGAACTGCCTTGTAGGTGCTCCATGCCCTTTCTAGTGGGCTGTCGATGGGATAGCAACGATGACAATGGACAACGGGTAACCCTCAGCCTGCAGCACGTTCCCGTTACCAACCTCGATCGTAATCGACAAATCCGGGCCAATCCGGCAGTAGTCATGGAGGATACTCCGGTCGCCCGTAACGTGGTATTTGCTACCGGAATCCAACCACCACGGGTTCTTGGGATACTGCGAAACTATACTTCGAATCCTCGCAATAAAGGGTGCCCGCCCCAAAGCTACGGACGCGCTCCTAGGCGGATTACGAACGTAGTAGTCGAGACTCTCCTCATCTCTCGTCTGCTGGGGAACGAATTGCTGTTCTCGAGCCATGAGTGTCAACGCAACGACCTCCAGTTTCCGTTCGGCACTCCTAGGCAAACCCTGCCGCTTACAATAACACTTTTCTGACAGATGGCCCGTCTTCCCGCACCAATCACACCGCAACTCTGACCCACCGTGCGAGCGACCCGAGCCTGAGGGACCAGAAGCGCTGACCTTCATTGAACAGTCCCTCGCGTAGTGGTTTCCGCCACAAACGAAGAAGCTAACCCTAGTTATTTGTTGTACGGAAGTCTGTCCGCGGGGGAGTGTTGTAATTCCGGTCAGACTTCCTAGGCTTTTATAGCTTGTCGTCGCGATAAGCTTTGTACTACGATTGGTGTGATTCCTAGTTGGGTCTTATCGTACGGACTTGATCTATTGGTACTATTTGTACCCTGAGGCAAGACTTCATTATCAAGCTGATTGTAACAACTATTGCTCATTGGGACTTTGGAGTGTCCTTCGAGTTAGGGCAAAGTGTCAGCTCGCTTATCCAGCTCGTGCTTAACTGGATCTTGTGTCAGCTATTTCTGGCTATTTACGAGTAGTCACAACAGCATTATATGCACAGAATGGCAATTGTTTTACTTTAATCCGTTCCTTAATCCAGACCTATGAAACATTCCCGTAGATTAGCGGCGAATTGGTGCGGATTAAGAAAAGATTAATCCGTGACTTTTAATCCAAATGGAACACCCCCAGAAGGTGTGGTATTGGAGTTCAAGGATCGATTGATGGGTGGTTGGAAGCATACGCGTCTAGATGACCAGCCAGACGTGTACCCGTCAGACGGCAAGCAACCAGGAATTCACGTGGCGTAATATAAACATCCGCTGATAAGGCGGATGTATCCATCGGTATGGATACATCAGTCGTGGACCTACTGCCGTACATAATGCTGCGTTTAGGAATAGTTTGGCGTTAGTAACGGATTTACAGTTTGATGGTTGGGGATCCAAAGTCATTCGTATCCTTAACCACTTAGAGCATGACTGGGGTGAGGAGGCAGTCGGGGGAGGCATTGATATGAGGGTTAGACGTTACTCGGCTTGCAAGCTTGATGTCGAAGTGCTGATGGATACCCTTAGGACACGTGTCAACGACGACTGGGCGAATGATAGGCTAGCTGTGGACCCTAGAGTTTTCGTTACGGATGGTAGGAAGCCCGGCGTGAAGATGGGCCGCCATAAGCACTGGATGGGGCCACCGAAGCCGTACGCGGGTTATATCCCCCCGGCGCATCATCGTGCCCTAATTCGCTTTCCTTTGTGTGTCTCTGACCTGGCGGTTAACAGTGAGAGCAACAGGGCTAGGGAGCACCGCGTGTGCGCTGTGTGTCGTAGTAATGGTGCTATTGAGGATGAGAAACACTTCTTGGTAGAATGTCCAGCGATTATGTCTGAGCGTCAGAAGATCTGGGACCTCGGTGTGCCCGTCAATGCGAACATCCGTGATATCATGCAAGTGGATGATCAGCGTGGTCTTGCAAAGGCTATTTTTGAGATGTTTCGCTCCCTGCATGAGCACCTAACTACCTAACTTTCTCGGCGGTAATAGGCAATTGTGTTTCAGAGTCAAATTGACGCTGTTCTTTCTCATAAACACCCGTTTTCTTCTTGCGTAAAACTTTCCTTTTTTTTTTGTTTGTTTGCTTCGTTTACTTTTTCTCTTTTTTTCTTTTCCCTATCGACAGCGCTGTCAAAGCGGTTCATGAGCCTCCGGGTTCGTTTGGGCCGTACGAGCTCGCTGAAGCTTGTAACATCCATCCAACATCCATCCATCCATCCAGGAATAGTTTGCTCGTGTTGTAATGCTCACAGTTTTTGTGGCTTAGTAAGTTGGATAGGTAGGAGGGTATCTACACGTACTTACTAGCTAGGTTCTTGGAGGTGACAAGTTGGGAAGCTTGCTTCTGCTTGCTTGTCGCCAATCAAAAGCCGTTTATCCGTATGCTAATATGTTTGCATGCAATTCGGAAACTTCCTTGGATGGTTTCCTTGTATACATACATCCCATCTTGCATGCCGCGTGTCGAAGCTAGATCTTTTGTGAATTTTCCTTTTTCCGCTATTTTTATTGCGATGAGTCTTGAAGGCTAAATGGATCGGACGCAATAGTGATTGCCAGAGCGTTTACAAAGCGACTAACGGCTCGGCTCAGCCACAACTCACTACTCTAGAAGCATGCCAGACCAAAGATAATCGCTGGCTCATTCCTATTTATTCACGAGTTCGACAGTCGATCAGCAAGTACGGAAGATGGCTCCACTCTATCCAGAAACCAACTATCACGCAAGCACCAGGCGACAGACTGACCGGACAACATTTTCCTCAACACTCCCACGATGACGACCCGGGTGACCTCATGCAAGTCAGCGAGGAGGAGGAAGGGAGAAATACAGTAGTAGTCCGCGGAAATGGAGATACGGAAATACCCCCTAGGTAAATGGGGCGACGGACAAGATGCAGGAGGCCTAATAATAGACCCCTTCGTATAGCGTCCCATAATGTAGCAGGTTTATTTACGCATTCGGCATTTACTCGTATCCATGCTGCGGCTAGAGTATGGGCCCAACATAGGTTAGATGTCATTGGTCTGGTCTGGGTTGACACTACTGCAATTAGCGGTTTAAGGTCCTGGGTTCGATTCCTGGGGAGACCCCCGAACTAGTCGGGAGCGCGAGATTATGGCTAGCTGCTGAGATGTGGAGTTGAGGTCACAGTTGATGGACCAGATTCGCACGCTGGATTGGTGGCGATTGCCGAACCCTCCGTCTCTTCGGGTGTTCGGGTGAATGGATGAGGAGGGGTCCCTGAAGGCTGGATCCGCCGCCTTGGACTTACAGTTCGTATGGCGAAGACAGTGTGGTAGTGGTGGATGGTGCTATAAGGTGATAAATGATCGTAGAACTGACAATGTGATAAAGCGGCCCAGAAGCCTCCCACTCTGTAACACATTACATTACATTACAGATGTCATTTGTTTACAGGAGACACATCATATGGGAGATGGAGACCTGACAATTCTCACTAGAGAATTGCAATTCGCGGCTCAGAAAATAGGGATACCGGGATGGGACATAATAGCACAATCCCCCACGACCAATGCCCGGACGGCTGGAGTGTTAGTGCTAGTGCGCAAAGATCTTTATCGCGACTTTAAAATAATACAAACACCGGCACGACTACTTCCGGCTAACATTCCCCAAGGCCGTAGCGCGTCGGTTTCGTTCACGTGGTGTGGTCACCGTATTCATTTGATTAATTTGTACCTCATGACATCTAGTTACTCGATAGATCAGAGGAAGGCGTGTGTGCATTCTCTTGGCGATGTGGTAAATAGGATAGGACAGGATGATCATTTGCTTTGGGCTGGAGATTTTAATTTTGTCCATAATCCGATGCTAGATTCCACCACAGGAGAAGGGAGTAGACCCGCGGACTTGTCCTTAGCCAAGGCTTTCTCCGAATGCTGCCCGGATATGGTAGACACATATCGCTACCTCCACCCTACCCGTCGCGACCTTTCGTTTTTCTATAAAACGAGTGTGTCGGGAGGGTCACGTCTTGATCGAATCTATACTTCCACAAACCTCACCCCCTTCAGCGCTTCCTCTACCATTCCAGTGTGCACTTCGACAGACCATCGTTTAGCTATTATTGCTCTTTTACCTCGTCTTGTGAGAACGCGTGGTCCAGGCCTTCCACGGCTACACACGCATTTCTTAGATTTCCCTGACTTGAAGGGAAGCTTCTTGCAATGGATTGGTGATGAGTGTGCGCAGAGACCCGCTGAGACAGACACAGTAGCTATGCTACAATGGTGGCCGTTGTTTAAACATCGAATGTTCAATGAAGTAACTGTTCTTAATCGGCAAGCGCGAGAACGTCGTTTTCCCCCGGGGGGCCAACTACGTTTGGCAATAGAACAGGCAACACGGGCACTGGAAGATGTGCAGACCGAACATATGAGTGCACAGAGGATCCAAGCGGCAATTGACGCCCAAGAAGCGGTTGTGCAAGCGGCTAGAGCTGAAGGTGCACAGGAGGCGGAACGGGTTCGGTTACAGTG